GATTCTGCCTAGCTCCGCCATTGCCAGAGTGTCCGAGTTATTCCATCAAAATAGGAATGTCATTAGTCATTGAGTGGTCTAGTCTTCCTATTATTGTGCGATCAGATTCGCTAGGACCACTGTCTTCGATGGTGGATGCCTCGCTCATCAGATCACCATCTGGTTATCTAGTGCAGGAGATCAAGCTTTTGTTGGATGAACGGGAGTTTAAACATTGTAAGATTGGTAGATCACATAATAGGGTAGCCCATAGTCTTGCGAACTATGCTCGGAGTGTTCGGAGCACAGCTTGTTGGTTGCATAGTATGGCTGATTGTAATTCTATTGGTTTGGAATACAAATTCCCTGATTCCTCGCAAATAAAAAATATTTCGTGTTATGCCAGGTGTCAAGTGTGGATACACGGAACAACCTTGCCCATGGCTTTGGCATGGACACATATATCCCCATCATCGGGCAATTCGGGATCGGAAATACAGTACTACTCCCAAAAGTTGTATTAAATGTGGATCAATTAATATGGATCCAAGGGAGTAGAAAAGTTGGCATTTGGTTTTATCCAACCACATGCTAAATTGCTAATAACAGAAGAGAAATGGATCTAGGAGACAACTTGTATCCGAAACAGGAAATAAATTAAGCAGGAGTAAGATGCACAATATCTCGGCATACTTTAGGCCGCCCATCCATCATAAAGGCTGGACGTCGTGACGGGGGTCAAGTGTGGATACATGACAACACACCCACCCATGGACTTTGCATGACAACATGATATGTTTATTTATGGAAATGGAAGAGCTTTACTTGCATGAAAACATGCATATATCTTGCCATGCCATGTTCATTTGGGAAGAAAAATGAGAGGTGAGAAGTGGGTAACATGCACAAATAACTGACGTTCCTTCATGCAACTCCAAGGAAGAAGAAGGGAGGACTGCCGAACAAGGTAGCACGTACTACGTAGGTTAGGTGGGTAAGCCGTACTACGTACGTACCTGAAGGTTATCCTCCTCCTGTCGCGGACGAGGAGCTGCGTCCTGGAGTCGATGTAGGCGACGAAGAAGGTGAGGACGATGTCCACGGCGAAGAAGATGTCGACGACCATGTCGGCCACCTCCAGGCCCCCCTTGGGCCTGGCCTCCATGAAGGCCACCTCGAACGGGTACACCCACGCCGAGTAGGCCACCAGGATCACCATGAACGTCTCCCAGCACCTAAACCATTAGCATTCTTGTAAGACGGCGGAGGAGTAGCAGGTACCGATGGTGGTGTGGCCTCATGTCTCACCTGTATCTGGAGTCGAGGGGCGAGACGACCCTCTTATCGGAGTCGGAAGTGGACTGGGTGAGGCTGGAGCCTAGGGGCGGCAGCATGAGCTTGGACAGGTTCCGGAGGTTGAAGGAGCGGGAGGCGCCGGAGCCGGAGCCGAAGCCCGTGCTCGAGCCGCTGGCGGCGCTGGTGCCGCCGCTGCTCGCGCTCTGCAAGCTCGAGATCTTCATTGCTCCCGGCGAAGAAGAGCTGCCTCGACTCTTCTAATTGGAGAACTAACTAGACGTAGCACGTACACTGTTTACGCACCACTCGTGCTAGCTAAGATAATTCTTGTGGGGACATCGAATGAAGATAACCGAGAAAGGCAGGGGCGAAGCGAGAATCAAATCAAGGCATCGAAATAATGGAGGCGGGGCATCCATCTATCGATCCATGGATCCATCAATAATGGAGGAGGGGGAGGGGTCCTGTCCGGGACGAAAGTGACCAGGCACACGCTGCCGGCCCGCGGGTTCGGCCAGTATATATGCAGAGCCAGCGCGCGCGCGCACGCGGGCAGCCGAGCCACGCACGTACGTAGCTCTACGCCTCTACCCCTGGTACGTCGATGCAGAGGTTCCCTAGCGACGAGTGCACAACGACCGGTGGTATGTTGTGGCTGTGGCCGAGAGAATTCACAGAGTGCCATGACAGTGATCTCGCTCCCAATAGGCTATTGCCAATGCCAATGGCTGTGTGTTTATGGAATGTTCGTTGATGTGGACTGTGGAGCCATGCCCCGGGTCCATGCAGATGCCCAGCCCAGTTGCCTACCTCTCTGTCTGCCTCGAGCACCAAGCATGTATATGTGCGAGCTGATTCATCAGGTCCTTTCGGGTTTGGAGCTTTGTACTAGCACATAATTGATTGGAGACAGTGCACGCTGCAGTCCCGATCGTGGGTACGTGCTGCCTGCTCGCGCCAAGTGCAGGTTTGCTTCTCCATGTTTATCACGACCTATGACGCTGTTGGGCAATTCGGATGTAATATTTTCTAGTTTTGGGGCTGGCACAGCGTGGTGTCAACTTGTTTCTTCACATGTGCTTGTTCAAATATGTCATGCAATATCTCGCAAAGAAAAAAAATATGCCATGCAATGCATGCTCTTTGGTTCTGCATTCTTGGTTGCTTCGGTTGTTTATTAGGCCTGCTCGTGGAGTCCTTCTAGCGCTCCACGCTCGGCTGGCTTGAAATTTTGCATATTTCGATGGGGTCCGTAACACTTGTAACCCTAAAATTTTGAGCCAGTTTTAATCTGAAATTTATATTTGGTTAAAATTCATTAATTGAAATTTGAAAACTCAAAATCCTAAAGAATTTCCAAAATATGCGAAATTTCCAAAATTTTGCATATTTCAGTGACGCCCAAAAGCTTTCCGTTTCCAAAACTAAAAACCTCCTAGCGCAACTGGCCCGACAGCAAGAAGTGTTGTTTTTGTACTCATAAAACAATTAAACACATTTTTTAATGCAAGTTTGCCCGCTCTACGTGGTAGTCATCCAAATAGCATCAAACTTGTGCCGTCCAGAAGTATTGCCAATATTTTTAATCATTGATTGGACGGTATTTTAAATAGATTCAACATGCCAATAAGAGTAAGAGCGTATGCCTTAATGTGGTGGCTTTGACTATGTAGAGATGATTTCATTTTTAGTGGCAAAAAAGTTTCTCCTTTACAGATTGTTTTCTGGTGTACGCACTCGCCTCGTATGTGGTATATGATACAACAAGTGAAGTACTGACCGCTATTCAAGGCAGTCTGTACGTAGTTGGAGCAAGTGGCTGCGGAGATTCTTTCCTAATATGGGTGTCTGCATAACCTCCCAGCTGATCCACCACCACTATAGAAATAAGCATAGTGCCGGTCTATAAGGCTCTACTGTTGTTGTCTTGACGGTTAACTTTATTTGTTTTTATCGGACTTTTCGGAATTGATTGTGTGCATCCTAGTTATGCAGAGGCCAGATGTCACTCATAATGCTTTGTATTGGTTATATTTAAAATAATAAAAGCGTCGTTTATCGAAAAACTTTCTACCTTATGTCGGCAAAGCAGTCATTAATTTAATCGTCGGGCTTCAACCTTCTGTCTAGGAGAAAAAACGTTGGATGTGAAATTTTCAGCTTTCTGTGTGTATTCCTTTTTCTTAACGCTTTCTGGTGCGTTTCTCGGTTAGCTGAACGACAGTGTCAGAAAGAATAAAAAAAGATTGGCTGGCCGAGCCACATTATTTCTCTTCCAGAAGATCGAGCGGGGTAGGCTGATATAGTGATAAGCTTGGATCTCTGGTTCAGAAGAATTTACACAAATATTATCTTCCGGTGCCATAATTAATCACTGGAGATTATGATGGGCGATCTTGACTAGAAACAGTAGAATGAGACGGTTGAGCCAACATCAGAGTAACCAAGATGATGCCGGAAACAATTACTAGAAGCTCACATACTGGCCTCACGAATGACAGGTTGTGGGCACCCTTAAATAGGCATCATATATGCACATCACATCATGATCTTCAGTCTTTGATTTTGCCTAAACGTGTTGGTGCCGACGCATGTACCCAACTTTACGTGAATTCCGCTGCAAATTTTTTTGGTCTTGGCCAAAAGTATTGTGCTCGGTTGATTAAATTGGTGATGGTTTTCCTGCAAAATTAAATTAAATTGGTAAGGGTTTGTTTTTAGAAGAAATAATTAGAATGATGGATTGTATAAATGCAACTTAGCAGGAGTAAAAATGTGAAGTGGACTTGTATTAGTAGATGGAGGGAGTATTAGGATGAATATGAAATATAAGTAGTTCTCAGTAAAGAAAGCCAATGGCACGGTACATCATGTTATAATTCATATTGAAGCTATATACACGAGAAATTGTTAATTGTGGTAACAAAGAAAAGAAAACTACCCCTAATTTGTCACCAATTACAAAAAGCTTTGAACAAAATTGTTAACAACCTAGAAAGGCCTTGACCTATGTATTCACTTGTTATTCTCAAGAAATAATTTAGCACAGAGAACCTGATACCAATTGGGGCTGCAGAGCGGCGAGTTCTTCTGAGCGGCAGGAGGTGGTTCCTCGTAGTGCCATCTGCAATAACCTACCGAGTGAATGATAATGCTGACTAGTTTAAGAAGTTGCTTACTAACAAAAGGAAAGCTTAGTATATTTGATGTCTAGATTAATTGGAGAACAGATAAGCTTCAGTATAACCTAGAAATAACTTAGTATATTCTAAAACAGTAAAGCTTCTTTAAACCTTGGTCATACATATTCATTATCAGCAGTGATGAACATGTACTTACTGCTACTTTTTTGTCAAACTTTGTTCTATTAACAACTACAGCTAGTCACAAAGAATTTAAAGGTAGGTAGGTAGCTAATCAATATAACTACTACAGAGAATTGTTCAGTTCTACTTTATAAAGGTCCATGTATCAAATGGTGTATCAATTAGGTCTATATCACAATTATTTGTGTTCTACTTATGGTTAAAATGGTGTGTTTAGCCAAAAAAACAGTGCCAAGAGCTCCTCCTTATTTGAAGCACACATCAAAGAAACTTAGATACGTCTGAACTACAAATGCACAGAATGCCTGAACAATGAATCAGATTCTTAGAAATCCGCAGAAGCAAGAGCATAAACACAAAATGTATGAGAATGTAAGGAACCATATGGATCTAATTATGTTCATCATCAGTCCTAGGCCTCGCTTGACGAATAGGGCATGAAGAGATTTGAAGAACATAAACCACAATAGAGACTCAAAGTAGACCAATCAACTAAATCCAGATTATCTAGTTGTTATTTTTTTAAACAGATGTATAAGATTTGCCTCATCTATTAATTAAGGAGAGGATAGAATTTATTACAAGTGACCCCCTATACAACTAACAGTGTAATTGGTAGCCTCTTGGAGGGGATCCCGACAACAAGCCTACCATGGGGCCAAGAAGGCCCACCAAGGAGCTAGCGACAGAAGGGAGCCCGGAGTATCGAATACGCATCTAAGGATCATCTTGGCCCCCAAGTGAAAGGATCGATATGGTTGACTAGAGGGGGGGGGGGTGAATAGGCAACTACCAATTTTTAACTTTTCTTTATCAAATTAAACTTTGCATCAAAGTAGGTTGTCTAGATGTGCAACTAGGTGAGCAACCTATATGATGCAATAACAACAAGCATACAAGCAAACAAGAGAAGTAACACTAAAGAGCTTGCACAAGTAAAGGTAAGAGATAACCAAGAGTGGATCCAGTGAAGACGAGGATGTGTTACCGAAGTTCCTTCCTTTTGAGGGGAAGTACGTCTCCGTTAGAGCAGTGTGGAGGCACAATGCTCCCCAAGAAGCCACTAGAGCCACCGTATTCTCCTCACGCCCACACACAATGCGAGATGCCGTGATTCCACTATTGGTGCCCTTGAAGGCGGCGACCGAACCTTTACAAACAAGGTTGGGGCAATCTCCACAACTTAATCGGAGGCTCCCAACAAAACCACGAAGCTTCACCACAATGGACTATGGCTCCATGGTGACCTCAACCGTCTAGGGTGCTCAAACACCCAAGAGTAACAAGATCCGCTAGGGATGAGTGGAGGAATCGAAAATCCCTTGGTGGAAGTGTAGATCAGTGCCTTCTCAACCACTCCCGAGCAAATCAACAAGTTTGATTGGCTAGAGAGATAGATCGGGCGAAAATGGAGCTTGGAGCATTTAATGGAGCTTGAGCATTAATGGAGCTTGAGGGGGAAGAGGTAGGTCAAAGGGAAGAAGGGGACCCCCTTTTATAGTGGGGGCAACAATCCAACCGTTGCCCCCACCAACCAGCCCCGCACAGGGCGGTACTACCGCTAAGAGGGGGCGGTACTGCCGCTAGGTCAGCGGTACTGCCGCTCCAGCCAGCGGTACTGCCGCGCAGAGAAGACTAGTAGGGAATAGGACCCAACGCGGTACTACCGCGGTGGTAAGGGGGGTACTACCGCTCCTGAAACGGTACTACCGCCTCTACAACCGCAACTAGTGCTGCAAAACCCGACACGAGAAAAAGAGCCCTCAAGTCGAGGCGGTAGGAGCCAGACAGCCCAGCGGTACTACGGCAGCGGGGTCACGGGCGGTACTACCGTTGCGGAGCGGAACTGCCGCTTGTGACCCTTTGGCCGTACTACCGCTGGTAGTGCGGTACTACCG